TGTATAATATCTTTTTTCTTGAAGATGATGAAGTTGTTGTGGCTACAACTCGCGTGGAGACCATGTTAGGGGACACAGCAGTTGCTGTTCACCCTGAAGATGCTCGATACAAACACCTCCATGGCAAGTTTGTACAACATCCTTTTATTGTGAGCCGTAAGATGCCTATTGTCTTGGATGAATTTGTGGATATGCAGTTTGGAACAGGTGAGTTTAACATTTGTTGTCATTGATTTGTCTCTTAAGTATCTTTATTGGTCTGGCAAATCAGTACACATTGTGTGATGTTGAGTGTAGTCGCATAGTACTTAATATACTAGCTTACCAATACAGTTAGAAATAAGCTAAAGGACCATTTTTATGCCAGTGGTTAATGGGTGATGTAGTCAACATCACTCCAGCTGCCTTTACTTCCCAGGACTTTACCTGGTACCCATTTTCGGCTGAGTCGACCTGAGACCAAAGGTCATTTAAATAAAGATGACTCAGTGCTGATTTGAATCCAAGACCTCTGGGCTGGCAGGTGAGCTTCTAACTGCTCTACCACAGCTCCCCAGTAGTATGGTTGTTTCGGGTTGTGAAGGAAATGTAGTGCAACCAATTTAATTGCATTGTTACTTCTTTCCTATACAAATTGCGGGAACTTTTTTAAGCCACCTTATGTATAGACGCATGACACACGCACACATGCGCTCACACACACAAACATAATATGGAACTCTAAATTATGAAATGCTTAATCGATGTTACATATGTTAAATTCTGATTTAATGTTAATTTTAACATATGTCAGTGACAGTTGGAGAACCAGTGACATGGAACGAAAATTAAATGCATTCAGGAAATAAAAAATACCTAAGGAAATTGATAAACATTAAAGGGGAGGAATGAGGGAAAGGGGAAGACATGTCTGGACTAATGTTTGTATCATCATTTATAAGCCAGCGAGGATGGTAATATAATGGGCACATCGTGAGGAAAAGTGGGCAGAGAATCACCAGACAGATACTGAAATGGGAAGCAAATGGATTGAGGAAATGATGCACAAGAGAAACCCTAAGAGAGGCCTAAAGGGCTGAACTGGATTTCATCCATGATTTCAAGAAGGATAGAATGGGGTGGAGGGAGGGCTAGACTGTGAGCCTTGTGTGACATAGAGTGGCACAACATGATGATGATGATGATGATGATGCTATACACACGCACACAAAAGCCACTAAAAAAAAGGTAGTGATATTTTTTTGCGGGCAGGGGGCTGCAGTGGCTAGATGCTCACTTGCAGATCTACGGGTTGAGGGTTTGAATCCATGCGGTGCTGGAGTTTTGTTTTCTTTCTCAATGATGGCCTTGGCTGCCAGGTTGACCCACCCTGAATGGGTGCCAGGTGGAAGTTCTGGGAAGTAAAGGCGGCTAGTGTGAATGCTGATCACATCACCCACCACGTTCGGGTTGGTCTATAAAATATGTCTAGCTGTTATATAGCCAGCATGCCTAAAGGTCTGAGAAAGAGCACTTTATTTGTACAAGCATGTTGTTGGGGCACAGCCTCTGTGGTTTGCTTGTTTTTGCTTTATGCCTTTTTTCACACTACCTTTCTCAAACACTCCCTGGCACGCAGGCTGAACACGCTATTGATCACTTGGCTGTGAGGAACATCATCATTATCCTTCTGTTTTTTCGACTCCTGGAATGCATCAAGACAGTATGAGATCTTTGGAACAGGCCTTCTGTCTGCTTCACATAGAGTACTTTTCAGTATCTCTGACATTTTTCTGGTCCATCTTCTGCGGGGTTGACTTCTGGCTCTGTTTGTTGGGTCTTTGCTGACTCTGCTCCTGATATCATCGCTCCTAAATCAATCTTTCCTCGTTACATCTAGCATAGTACGTAAACATTTCATTTCTGTGGTGACTATTTTTCTTCTGTCTTCTGAAGACAGTGTCCATGTTTAACATTGATAGCATAACGTTGGTAAGAATATTGTGTTGCACAGTGTTCTTTTAGTGTTCATATTCACATGCTTGAATTATCATTATCCTATTTGGATCATAATACTTCATACAGGGCTCGCAGTCTATTCTTCTGTTATCTGTCCTGTACAACCTTTTCAGGATCATGGATGGAATCCAATCCAGTACCTTGAACTTCTCTCATCAGTGTTTGTTTTAGGTTTTCTCTTGCACATCCTCTTTTCCACAGCCCATTTTTTCCTCCCATTTCAGCATTTGTTTACTGATTCTCTGTTTGCTGTTTCTCTGGAATTACCCAATATATCGGCGTCTTCTTTGACTCTGTTATTTACCTTTCTTAATATAATCCAATTTAATGTTCACCATTTTACTTAGGCTGCTTTCTTCTTCCCTTTTTTTGTGGTCTCACCGTTACCAGGTTGTAGCCTAGTGTCTTAGTTTTTTTAATGTAATAGCAATCAGTTACGCCACTGCCATTTGTTTTCAATTGCATTTAACTTTTGTGTGAAACAAACTCGTACTAAATGGAACAATTTAGCCATTAAACAGGCAGTAAACTCAACCTTTAAATTTGATAAATGAGACCCTTATCTTTTGTACCTGAATTTTTCAAGCTTCCATTGGTGACCTTTATTTCAACAGGAGCTGTCAAGATAACACCTGCCCATGATGCTAACGATTACGAAGTCGGGAAGCGGTTAAACCTTCCTTTCATCACCATCTTTGATGAGAATGGGATCATCACCGGAGACTGCGGACCTTTCACTGTAAGTTATGTTTTTTTTTTTGTCTCACTTTGTGTGTTTGTAGCTTGCTCTTGGTGGTGGAAGGAACAGAAGATTAGTTTTCTTTTAATGGAAGACATAATTCATATTGTTTTCTATTCGCTGAAGAAAGTAAAGTGAAGTAACTTTCAGTTTTGTGTGTGTGTGTATGTGTGTGGAAAGAACACTGTACTTTTCTCTTCATAGAGGAAGGAATACTCTTGTACTTTTCTCTTCGTAGAGGAAAGAATAATCGTGTAATTTTCTCTTTCTAATGGAAAAAACACTGGTATTTTTTCTTTTTATGAAGGCGAGAATAAACTGGTACATTTTCTTCACTGAGCAAAGAATACACTTGCGCTTTTCTCTTCATTGAGCTAAGAATACCCTGGTATTTTACTCTTCATTGAGGCAAGAAAACACTGGTATTTTTCTCTTCAGTGAGGCAAGAATACACTGGTATTTTTCTCTTCATTAAGGTAAGATTACGCTGGTACTTTTCTTTTCATTGAGCTACAAATATGCTGGTATTTTTTCTCTTCATAGACGAAAGAATACACAGGTACTTTTCTCTTCATGGAGGAAAGAATACTTTGGTACTTTTCAATTCAAGGAGGAAAAAAGATTCATGTAATTTTCTTTTAGGAGATGAGATAAATCATAAAGGTCATGTATTGTAGCTCTCTTTTAACTCTTTGAATCCCATAAGTTTTTGCAAAAAATTTTAAGGCGCGCAATAACCACTATAAATAATCACATGAGTATAACTTGTATTAGACAAATGTACAGTGTTTAGAAGTAATAACACAGGTAGCCAGATTTCACTAGTGTTCTCTGACCAAATATGAACAGTGGAAGAACACAATATGAAATTGTTTAGATTAATTGAAAAAAGGCATTGACACATCATGCGTTGCTTGGGACTCGGTGAGTTAACTGGAAAAAAATGAGATTCTTTTTCTGTTCAAATTATCTTGGCAAAAACTCACAGAAAGAATACACTTTGACAGTTTGCACCGAAAATAAGCAAAACTGCTCAGTTGTAAAGATTACTGTCAGAATATTATCTGTCTGCCAGATCTTTTAGTTTTGCTTGCCACTGTGTGTGTGTGGTTTTTAGAAAAGTAAAGTTTCTTTGCTGGAAAAAAAAATGGAGTGACGTAGATGGGTAACATCCATTGAACAGTCATAAAAATGTTTTCAGCCGTCTGAATATGTTAAAGAAACCATAAATAATATCTCAGCAAAATAGATACATCATAGCAGACATATGTAAAACTCAGCCATCTGTATATATCTCAACAATTATATATTTATGTTTAACCATCTTCATACATCTTAGCAATTATACATATAAGGGCAGCCATCTGCTCACATCATAACAGGTTTAGATCCTCTCTCAACCGTCTTAATTAATTGTGTCAGTTACAAATATCTCAAGTATACAGACACATCATCCAGTTCTGGTGTATCAACACCCTTGTCTTAGGTTCAAATCCACTTCAAATAAGATTTTCAACAATGGCATTGGCTTCTAGGTCAACGCAGTCTAAAATGTGTACCAGGTATAAAGTCCTGGGAAGGGAAGGGGGCCACTTGATGTTAGCTTCATTCCTCTTCAAGGGCTAATTGGTCGATAAAAATATAAGTCTAGCCTCACCTGAGCGATGCGCCTTTGGGGTGAAAAGTCCTTTACTTTTACTGCCCCCCACACCCTTCCGTTGCCCCAGTGATTTATAGTAGTTTTGAGTATTACCTGGATACATTGTGATTGTTTCACATATTCTATTCTTGCCATAACTACGTGTCAGCCATCTGGATATGGCACGGCAATTATAAATGTCTCAACATCGAAACGGTTATAAATATTAGCTTAGTCATCTTGGTCAGTCATAATACTTTTTCTTCTGCTTTCACACTAAAAGGCCACCTGGCAGGTTGTGTTGTGGTTTACAGTTAGATTGTAATACCTGTGCCTTTCAGCCCAACACATCCAATTTCTGTAAACCCTTAATTAGTAAAAGGAAAAAAGTAAAGGACCCTTTTCCATGCCTTTAGGTGTATTGGGCACACAGGGCTAGACCTATATTTTATAGACCAATTGGCACTCTGTGGGTGATGTACCCTTAATTAGTAAACTTCTATAACATGCTTGTAATGGGGCAGCGGATCTGTCCTCACATATTTTGTTATTCCCACAAAGGAATTATAAAATTGTTTCCCTTCAGACTTATCCAATTAGTCAGTCCATAACCTAGTTTTTAAATCATCTCAGTAAGGGACATAACTCGTTGCCTTCTTTCCCATCCTTCCATGGCCCCCAGGCCCTGTTGACTGGTGACACATTTTCATTGGTCGGGTAGCAAGGAGTAACCGAGGTGACGTAAAACTCTTGTAGTTTCTCCAGCATCTTCTGGACAATGTTGGGCAGCTTCCTGGAAACGTCATACTTCTCCAATGGGTCTTTACGAATGTTGTACAGCTGTATTAGTTTGACAGTCCTGGGAAGCAGGTTCTTGACCTCTAGAAGTTTTGTTTTGGCTAATGATAGCCGTTTCATTCTCTTAACCCGCCGATGATGCTGCTGTTTCCATTTGCGCTGTAGTTTAGCTTTATTCTGCCGTTTTAGCTTTTGTTTTTCATGCCACCTGTGTTCTTTTCTTCTGTTGTTGCTGGTTATCCTGTATTTGTTTGGTTTGTTTACTCGGCGTTTACACTTTTTTTCTGAAAATACAAAATACAAATGAAAACATTTTAAAGTAATGTTTCCCTGTTGTGAATTGGAACAAAGAAGACACAAAAAAATAGATTGCATAATTTATTGCTTGGCATATGTTGTGTATCTCGTCAGTTGCATACTACAGTGACAGTTTTGATTAAAATGAAGCCAATAAATGAATCCTTCTAACTGAAACACAAAGTTAACTACATTCACAAAAACATTTTAATGGCTAAAGAAGAAAATGCATGCACATAACATGTAAATGGGAGGCTCATTGAAGCAAGGACATGAGATTTGAAAATGTCACCGAAGAATGAAAGACAATAATACTAATCTCACATGCCTCCAGTTTCCTCAGCAAAGTTCTGGAGGGAGATTTAAGAATCTTCTAGGTACAATCTTCTAATATACAGATTATAAGTTAGCCTACATTTCTCTGTGGTTCTTTATTTTGTCGCTCCTTCGTTTACATGGCATGCTTGCCTACGGATCAGAAGGTCATGGATTCGGTCTTGGCAGAGCCTGACTTTTTTTTCACAAATGGCCTTGACTGTCAGGTCGACCCAGCCTTGAGTGGGTACCAGGTACAGTGCTAGGAAGTTTAAAAAAAAAGGCGGCAGACGTGATGTTGACCACATCACCCACCCAATGCCGATTGGTCTTTAACATGTAGGACTAGCCCTATATGCCCATTATGCCTGAACATGGTCTCCCCTTGTTAGCTGTTTATTATATTTTAAAGTCTAAGCACTTCATACATAAATATTTTGCTTCTAAGGTAACTAATATTTTTCGGATACTAACCTGCACAGGGACCAGTAATTAGCTTGTAGTCGCCGATTCTTATAGCTGCACTCATTCGTACATCAAATATGCTGGAGTATCTGTGGGTATACTTGTAGTTCATGTAACATGCAGGTAGATTTATGTAACCAAGAGACACGGCTAAATAGCTTTAACATGCCATGCCTAAGAATACTTAGCATTAAGTTTCAGGACAGGATCACAAAAACGGAGATATTGGGAAGAGCAGGTATTAGCACAGTCTTCTCAGTGCTAAGTCTTCTAACGCTCAGGTGGCTTGGTGAACTAAAGACAGGTAGAAGATGTTGAGGCCGACCTCTATGAAATAAAGACGTGTGCAAGCTGGACATGAATGATACACTTATTGAGGTGGACTCTGAACAAAATGCCATGGACCGTGTGTGGAAGGGACACATCTGGAAGGGAATGAGACTAAACACAAATGTCTTGAAATCCCAAGCTATAATTGTGGAAGACTTTTCTTAACATGGGCATGTTTTGCCAGTCAGATTCACCATCGCCATGAGCAGTCCCACGCTTCCTCACAGTGCAGCATAACACTATCATCTGGAAAGATGTAAAGGTGCCCACCAATCAGTGAGATTTATGAAGCTAACATGTAGCTTTACCTCATGTAAGTTAACAGTGTCTTATAATACTACTCTTAGAGTATCTTTTGCTGTAAGTTTTCCTCCTATAGATTTGCAATATGTAGGATTAATATCTTTGGGATGAGCATAAAATTGTCACAAATCTTGGAAATCCCATTAATCCATATAGCCGTATGGCACAGTATATATTGGGACACCACAAAACGAGGTAACCTTGAACCATGTGCCGGTTAGTGCAGTTTAGGTAGGTCTTCTGCTATGCAATACTTTATTAGCCTGTGTGTGCTCATTACATCATTAAGTATTGCAGCATCAGCAGATTTTGGTATAAACTTAGCACATTCAGCACAATCAGGTTGCCACTGTACACTCGTGGCTGGGTAAAATTGTGCCAGTATAGTATTCCATCTTTTCTGAACTTAGTAACTATATAAAGAACACTAGCTTCACATGTGATGTGCTCAGCATCATGTTGGCCACTTTTACTTCCCATAAAATTTCCTGGTACTGGTGTTTAGGCTTTGAGTTAGTAGCCTAGGTGAGTTTTCACAATGGGAAATTGGTTAGCTTTACAGGTGAACAGTCTGACAGAGCGATGTTGTGATATCACAATAAAAGGATATAAAAACTGACAAAACAAGTCAGTCAGGTGTGAAGTTCCCCATGTGGGTTCTGAGCCCACATTGGAAGGGGGGAGGGAAGAATAGACTGACCAGAACACCCCCCCCCCCCTCCCATTCCACCAGTCCCATGCATGTTGGGCAGCTGATCAATGGCGATTTCTTCATTTGGAGTGCCTCTCTCTGAAAGCCTGAAACACAATAGCTCCAGAGACGAGTGTGACTTGATGCTGTTAGTCTCCTCTTGAGCCCAAGGCGGCTCTTATGGAAGAGGTCATAACTCTCCATGTCTGGTAGTTCGTTGCCACCTGATTTAGGTCTTGGATGTTCATTTGGCCCATGGTTGAGCCTTCCCTGATGATGGTTCTATACAGGGTCTCTCTTGGTCTTCCCCGTTTTCTATTCATTTCCAGTGTCCATGTGAGGGTTTGATGGGGGAGTCTGGTCTTATCCTTTCTGAGTACATGGCCTAGGTAGTTCCACTGGCGCTTTCTTATACAATTGGATACATTATCTTGATTGGTCTCTTGTCGTATTTGCGTATTGGATGCAGTGAACCTTGTTAATAATTTGATGATGATGATAGCAACACCAGTAAAACATTGTAGAGATAACAGGACTGCATAAGGTAGGTTGCTGTCTGATACTTCCTCTAGAGCTGTAGATAATTTTGGAATGGCAATGAATGAGTAAATGGTAACTTATCATTTCATGTTGGGGTACTCACCTTCCCATTGGGGAGCTTGATTTTGTTAGTGGGTCAATGCCATGCAGGATCATGACCTTCTTAGAGTGAGCATTATTGCTGATCACGTCCCATTGGTCAATCCCAGCAATGTGATTTGTGCCACTCATGTTTCCTTTAGCCAGTTTAACAAAAGTTGGGAACCAGTCTGCAACATGGATGAGTGCTCTGTTTGTGTACTTCTGAAGAAAAAAAGGTATTTTAACTCTTTAGAAACCAAACATTGCAACACACTCCTACATGTATATTTGTGTGTTTTCACACCGAACATTACAAATAATTGAGCAATAACAATTTAAAACACAATTATTTTTTTTTTAATGTGCTGTTTCCTCTATGGAGGTAAGCGTCATTTGAAACATTTACTGCTAACTTCTGGAATATTGCATGGTTAGCTCCTTGTCTTTTCCACGATGTAACCTTCTTCCCACTGTTTGAAACTCAGAATAGAAGTTATGTTGTTTAAATAGCCCGTCGTGGAGTTTAAATTCATATATAACATCAAACCACATTGATCAATTCCACAGTATTACTTTGTGGGTTCTGGGGTCCCATTGTGGGATGAGGGGGGGGGGGGGGGGAAACAAAGAACAGACCCAGTGTCTCTCTAACAAGCATGTCACAGAAGTCAGCTAATTAGGAGTGCTTCCTTTGAAATTGGAGTGTATCTGCCTTAAAGAACCAGCAGTCTCTGGGATATACGTAAACCAGATTTGTTAAACAGATGTGCACACACAACTCAAGTTCTGGAACAAGACTAAAGTCCAGAAGTGGACGAACAACCAGAACTTTCTTCTCAAGTTTACAGCTGGTGAATAAGAAGAAGAAGAAGTCTTCAGTGCTTAAGGAGTCACAGAGGGCAGTTAGAGAAATATTAAAGTTGACGGTAATAAAATTAGGTATGTTTTGACTGGTTATTGCTTGTCTTGAAAGATAAAAAATTGTGCTAAGTGAGTTATGGTATGACTGTTGGGTAATAGTGTATTGCTTGATTGCCTTGGTAGATTTCATTTGTTGTAGATAGCTGTGATAATTGGCTAAATATTGTGTGTTGATTGATTTCTTGATAGATTTCAGATTTATAATTGTTAGGAAACTTTGTATTGATTAATGCTTTGATAGATTTCAGGTCTCCTAGGTAGCAGATTGTATGAATGTTAGAAAAGCGCATATTTAAAAAAAAAATACTTTTATAGATTTCATTTGTGTTGCATAGCAGAATTGTATGATTGTTAGGTAATTAGGTATAAGATATCTCACCTGTTTCTCTAACAACGGACTCGCCACAAACCCGACACCCTTGATTCCACCCTCAAACCACTCTCCCTTCCGTCCACGAAAGGGCCAGTTAGATCCTCCATTCTTTGGGTCAGCTCCATTATCGGTGGAAAACACCAGCACTGCCAAATTGAAGTGATCAATTTAAATTTTGACATGAACAAGGCTTCTGCTGTGTCTGTCCATGCATACATACTTCTGTCTGTCTGTCTGTCTGTCTGTCTATATATCTATATATATATCCATCTTAAATTTATTATCAAAATATTATCCAAAAGCTACAATTTACTTATAACTTGTTTAAGCACATAAACATATTACATATCCCTAAACCTAGGATAGACCTTTATAAAACAAGCTTAGCGTACTCCGCAGTTCAGTTGTGGAATCATCTTTCACAACAAATCAAAAATACCACTAATATCTTAACACAGATTACACGCCCTCACAAAAGATAACAGTATTTTAGAAATAGTGCATGTTTCCCCTAGATATATTACAATTACTAAAGTTTACTGCAGTTAGAAATGTGCATATACCAGTGCTTGTATTTAGTATTCTGATGCTGTTGATAATGTTTACTATTACTTGATGTATAAAAACTAGAAGGGCAGAATGTTAGATAGGCCTGACTGCCCAGTTCTCAAGCCTTTGAAATTTACAGTCTGTTCTGTCTGTTTGTCTATAAGGTTAGATAAGCCTGAGTGCGCCATTTGAAACCTTTTTATAACAAAAATGTTTGTTCATTCTCTCAGTCTTTATCTTGTGTCCTACCGCCTATGCTCTAAAATGTCACAGAGATGTAGTTTCTTGTCTTTTGCTAGTTTCATAACTTGTGTTAATATCTTATTGCACTTCTGTAGTGTCTCTTTTACTCCCACCACCCATCTTTTTCTTGGTCAGGCTGTTGACTTGTAGCCTGTTGCTCTCATGTTGTATGCTGTAGCTGCTGCTGGCTGATTTTTTTCCACTCTGACCAGGTGACCAAATAGTTTGATTCTTCTATAGTCTAACATCTGGAAATCAAAGACACTTAGCAAACACACAAAACTCAAGATCTTCAATTCTTGTGTGATTCCAGTACTAACCTATGGATGCGAGAGCTGGAAATCAACGAAAACTCTAGACACAAAATTAGACAGTTTTGAAAATAAATGCCTTAGAAGAATACTAAATTTCAAATGGTCAGATTTCCAAACAAATACACAAATAAGGCAAGAATCCAGGCAAGAGTATGTGTCTAATTTTATACGAAAATGCCGCTGGAACTATGTCGGCCACGCCCTTAGAATGGATAAATCAAGACTTCCTTACCAAGCCCTCATTTGGACACCACAGGGGAAAAGATCTTGTGGAAGACCAAGGGAAACCCTACGTAGAACTATCATCAGGGAAGGCTCGCTCATGGGCCACTCAAACATCCAAGACCTACAACGGATTGCAACGAACCGCCATGCATGGAGAGTCATGACCTCTGCCCTATGTGCCGCACTCGACACAAGAGGAAAGACTAACTAACTAATAGCCCAGCTATCAGTGTGTACAGTCTGTGTTTCAAACCTCATCTTTGTTCCCTAATTTCTGCAACAAGTGCACTTGTGTGCCTAGTGTCATATTTTAAGACATATATGTCATCTTCGGTAGTTAGTATGACCCAGAAGCGCACATCTTAGGTACATATAGTTCCCTAATCCAGTTCACCAACCATTTGGTGTTGTGGACGTCCAGATATTCACAGAACACATTTAAGGGGTCCTCGGTATCATTTACACACAAAAACAAAAAATAAATAAATAAATTCAGCTTCAGAATACAATCTGTTTTGCAATTCTAATACAGTTTAACACAGACTCGCTTCAGAAAAACACTCAGTTAAAATGAACACAGTTTTGATTCCAGAAGGGATACATTATTTTTAGTCCCTGGTCAGCTGAATATTTTTTTTAATTTTTTAATTTACTAACTCTCGTCTTTTCAATCCTTTGGAATTATTGTTAATAAAGTTTTTCAGTATTTGTAAATTTAAAAGTTTTTCAAGGTATTGCAGAATTTGTAAATTTAATTTGTTTTTCAGGGCTTTACTGAATTTGTACATTCAAAAAGGTTTCAATGTTTTACTGAATTTGTATATTAAATTCATTTTTTCAGGGCTTTACTGAATTTGTAAATTTCATAAGGTTCTGAAGGTTTTACTGAATTTGTAAATGTAATCAGTTTTTCACTATGACTGTTGAAACCTGTCCCTGTAGCAGATCTTCACAAATAAGAGGGGTCCTCAGGTCTTAGCTGACTGGGAACTACTGACATAATCCAGTGAGAACACGTGTGTGAATGGTAGTTTACTGATTTAAGAATCAACATCATAGCACACCTGGCATACCTGTAGGTGCCCCCGTCTCTCATAGCACACTGATTGTAATACACTGGCCATTCTCTTCCTTGCCTGATCCACACCTAATTACTCATTCACACATTTGATTTAATCTCATCTCCTGTCAAGACAGCGGGAATTACACATAAACTTGAGACTTTTCAAAATAAATGTTTAAGGAGAATTCTACGAATATTTTGGCCAAACAAGATCACAAATGAAGAACTGAGGAGGAAAACAGAATGAGCATCACTGGCAAATTTTATCAAAGTAAGACAATGGAGATGGCTTGGACATGTTTGCAGAATGCCTTGTGACACTCTGGTGGACAGCAGTTGGGAAAAGGAGAAATGGACGACCTAAGGAAACTTGGAGAAGGACAATAGAATGGAAAATGAAGGAATGTAAACTGACATGGGATACCATGGGCAGAAAAGCAGCAAGCAGATCGGCAGCAGTGGAGATCACCTGTGAAAGCCTTATGAGTCAACAGCGACATGAAGAGGATATAGAATAGATATAGAATCTCCTGTCATCTATTAGCATTTGTGCATAAATGGTCTTCAGAATCTCTCCCTTGTCCAGTACCTGTGTTCCTGTTGCTGTCATTTTTGTAGCCAGAAAATCTGCTCTTTCATTTATGTTTCAGTGGTAAGATTATCTGATCTGTGATGATAGGACACATACCTGTATTATTCCAGACTCCTTTCTTCTTAAGGGCTGTCACAATTTTGCCAACCCCTTCATCCAGGGCGGTTGTCATGGCAGCAAAGAGCCGCCTGGGAGGGTCTGGGATGTGCAGATACTCTTGCTTGTAGCTGTGGGGCACCTGGGATGACCATTTGATGATAGAATACATGTAGACACAAACATTTGCATCCACACACACATATATCTCAGTTCACATCTGTATCTGTAATTCATATTTTGCCATGGTTCATAGATTGCAGTTGGTACTTTGTGTATGTGTAGAGGGGACTTTTGGTTAAAGTAACTATACACTTATAGTCTACAGCGTTGGAAAGTAATTACACACCTACTACTTGTATTTACCGTTCAAAGAAGTAGCTGTTTAGCTTCTTAAAATCGGTGAAGTAAATAAATAAGACAGGACATTTGAACATCTTTTGTAATTGGTAATTGGCATAGGTACCATACATGCAGCATGTACAAATGAAATAAAATGTATCACAATGCCCATAGGTATGTAGTTATTTTCAGACATGTAGGTGGCAGGTTATAGTTACTTTTAAGACATGTAGATAGTACGTTATACTTACTTTTCACACATTTTGATAGTATGTGCATAGTTACTTTTCACTCATGTAACTAGTGTATATGTATATAGTTACTTTTCACTCATGTAGCTAGTATATGTGTATAGTTACTTTTCACTCCATGTAGCTAGTGTATGAGTATAGTTACTTTTTACTCATTTAGATAGTGTATATGTATTGTTACTTTGCACTCATGTAGCTAGTATATGTGTATAGCTACTTTTTACTCATTTAGCTAGTGTATTTGCATAGTTACTGTTCACTCGTGTAGCTAGAATATTTTTATAGTTACTTTTCACTCATGTAGATAGTGTATGTATATAGTTACTTTTCACTCATGTAGCTAGTATATGTGTATAGTTACTTTTCACACATGTAGATAGTAGGTTGTAGTTACTTTTCACTCATGTAGCTAGTATATGTGTATAGTTACCTTTTCAGACATGTAGACAAGATGTGTATAGTTACTTTTAAGACCTGTAGACAGTAGAGTCATAATTACTTTTCAGACCACATACATTAGTTCTACAGTTATTTTTCAGACCTATAGACAGTGGACACATACTTACATTTCAAACCACATACATTAGGTTAAAGTTACTTTTCAGACAGTAGGTTACTGTTTAAGTACAAATTACTGTTCAAACCTCCTATAGCAGCCAGAGTCCTGTCTCACCTGAAGAGGCCCATGTACTGCCTGGTAGGCCAGGTACATGAAGAAAGGCTTGCGTGTTTTGTGGGCATGGATGAAGTCAATGGCTTTCCTGGTGTACAGGTCTGTGGAATATGTCCCGCTCTCATTGTAGATGTTTGTGAAAGTGTACCTGGTGTCATCGTGCAGGTCCACGCCACAGCCACCTTTCAGACACCGGCTGCATAGTTGGAAGAGAGGACACACGTGTCAGTGGTTGAGTTAGCATGCACAGGCGACCCAAACTTATGCAGTCACAATGGAAATAGTTGAAGGTTAGAGTCGTGAGAATCCACTTCATTGCTCCAGACTTTTCCCATATAGCTCGGTCTCTCTCTGCAGAGCGGCTAACCGCATACCGAGAACACCGCACGAGTATGAACACCGTAACCTCGGTGACGATTCGTGGGGGTCTTCGTAACGGTTGCACTGGTGAAGCAAAAGGCGCAGCCATAAAATGAACCAGGGACCTCTTCATTGTGAGGCAAATGGCCTGACCATCTCGCCGCAGAGATCCCCAATAATTTGTAACGTATCTAGAGTTTTCACGCACCATATGCAGAATGGGCTACCCAAATATGAGTCTAGCATCATACGTTTAACGTACAACTACTGCATACAGGACCTTTTAATAGGGTCACTATTATACTGTATTTTTCATTGTGTCTAGATTGACCATTTTCGTCTTTACATATGTGATGGGATGGGCACAAAGCTTTTAAAACAATTATTATTTATTGTATCCACCTCTCCACTACAGTGGTGGCTTAAAGTTTAAGACCACTTAGTGAGTAATTGATATTTCCGCACTGTAATGAAGTATAACCGTCCTCGGTTTGGGTAAGATGGTGGGACGTGTCTAGCTCTAGTTTGGCTTAAGACTGTTGATTAAGATCCGACAAGTCGCCATCATAAAACAACCATTGTTTTAGAATCATATTTTTAGCTCTAAATGTTATGATGCTTTGTTCAAATTTGTTAGTACCTTAACCTCGTTCAAATTTGTTAATACCTTAACCAGGTGGCAGCAAACCGCCAGGCATGGAGAGCTATGACCTCTGCCCTTTGCGCCGCCTTAGTCTCAAGAGGAAAGACTAACTAATGAAGTATTGCATCATCTGCAATTTTGGACCATATAATGGCTTCATTGATTGCCTTTAGCTGGTTGCGGTTTTTTTTCCCCTTACCGAATGGTGCAGAACCAAGCACACCATTTTTTTGTTGTTGTTGCTGTTTTGGTTTTACTAGTCTAGGTCATTTTGTGTACCGTGATTTGTCTTCGTTTCGCAATAGTCGGTTCTCGATGCCACTATCAAAAACAGTGCAAAATGGTCTGCTCTCAGATTTGTCTGCAGCTTGTACCTTCGAATTACGAAGTTCGTTCTCGATGTCTAAGCCACGGATGTCCACCAGATGGCCTTTAATTAGCAGTGCATCCCTAACAGTATAGAGTACCATATCCTGGTTTATGGGAACTCCGTGGTTCACAGACCACCAGATAGGAAAGACCTTTCCTAATCATTTTACTCTAGTTGCAGCGCGCACACACACACACACAGAGGGGAGAGAGAGATAGTTAGTTTAAGACACTCTAACAGTTAAAGTTAGTTGCATATCCTTTACAGGACGTTGCAGAACCAACCCCAGCAGTTTTTGACTGTTGTGGTTTTTCTATGCGTATTTTACGTTTAGTAGTCTGCCATTGCTTTCAGAAAGGTCAGTCCTGGAGACCACTGTCGAAACAAACGCAAGACGATCTGCTGCCAAATCAACCGCAGCTGGGATCGAACCCGGCACCACGAAGCGCGTTGGCAACGCCTAAGCTACAGACACCGACACTTTGACTCTACAGTACTCCAAACACAGATGACACATTGTGTGCTGAACAATTACACTGTAACTGTGCCCGTGTCAGTTTGACCTCATCTTCCACTGCTGACATAATTGCTGCCTACAATTCTATGACCCGGTTTCCGCCTGTCCAGATGTTTGCAATTAGCGGAGACAGTTGTTTCCTATTTTCCGACAAAGCTGATTTTACTGGGCAGATAGGTAGGTGTTTTGTCCCAAAACTAAAAACGTCACGGTCAACTAGCATTCCCGAAGGGTTGAGCTTTAGGTTATGATTTTGACCAAGTTATGTACTCCATATAGAATGGCTTAGTTTTGCACACCACCAAGAGCCCTGAACAGGACTCCTGCAGTGTTGAGGCGATCGGAGGTGACAAGACTCCAATACTGTCCCCGACCGACGACGTGTCAGTGTGAGACCCAGTCGCCGATGTTTTAAGTGAGGGGTGAGGGGGGGGGGGGGGTGTTGTTGGTTAATTTTTTTTCATCGCATGTGTAGTGTGCTTATTGTTATTTATTCTTCTGTTGTGTGTCTGGGTTTATTGTCCCCTTCTTCTTCTTCTTCTTCTTCTTCTTCTTCTTCTTCTTCTTCTTCTTCTTCTGCTTCTTATTCAATAAAGTTCGTTCATTCTCCTTCTTTTTCTTTTGTTTTGGTCCTCCTTTTTTTCCTTTCCCATCTTCATTCTAATGAATGTTGAACATTAGCTGAGTTATTGGACGCCACTCCTCTAGCTGGGCAGATGTTTCATTTGTATACATTATATCAAAGAATGATTGAACCTTAAACTAATTCAGAATGTTCGTTTTGCTTTTTTGACGTCTGTAATCAATTCCTTTTGTAAATTAATTCCTTCCCGAATATATGTTTGTTTATGGCAGTATTATTCTTCTTCTGTAGAATAACATATCCTCAGCTCCCATAATTGTTTCCTGATCTGCTGCTGCTTTTTCGCTTCCTCTTGTATGATTGTTTCTCGCTCTTTTGCCTGCCTCCGCCGGAGACACGTTGTGCTGTTGTAGAGTTTCTCTGATGTTACCTTTCCATATTTGTCATGGTCTGCCTGGTGTTCTACGTCCTTCTCGTTTTGGTATGTAGCATAGCATCAGATGGCATTCTCTCTAAGGGGACATACCATTTTCTTTGTTGTCTTTACAATAATCTGCTGATTGTCCATACTTCACTTCGCACTTCAGCGACATACAGATTAGTTGAGCCTCTTCCTTTCATGGGGGAAAAAGCAAATAAAACAGTTTCCTGGACATGAGAATTCTATTTGGAAGCGCCTATACTCTTTTCACAAATGCCTTCCTTCCAGGAAAACGGCAAATGATTAATAGTATCTTTATCTCTATTTTATGTCTTCTTCTTCTCTTGTTCGCCTGAAATAAGTTGTCTATATCAGAAATTTTGTCTCTTGGTATAAATTTCACTGTCGTTGTTAGTTCATTCAGTGGTCTATAGACTTTACTTTCCACTGTTGTTCGTTCTGGTTAAAAGGTTTGCATTAATGTGTCAAATTCGGTGCAGTCCTTGAGAACATGCTCTGCTGTCTGTGGCGTCTTTCCACGGGTTCACATGGCTGATACGTCTATCTTGAATTTTGTGTACACGTGGGTACGTAATCGGTTGTGCCTTGTTCTGCGGCGGAGGATAGTGACTTGTTCTGATCTGCCGATAATAAAATAGTTGTGCTGGGGTTGATGGTTTCTTAATCGATTTAGTGATCCTTTTCTTTTGGTGGTATGTGACTGGTACATTCGGCTGCACTTTTGTCGCACCTTCCTCTGCCAGTTGATCAGCTTTCTCATTTCCAGTCACTCCCCAACAGGACGGTATCCATTGCACTACGACTCTTCGCTAAAGGCTGAGTTGTGTCAGCAGTGTTTGCAGTTCTGGTTGTCTGCTACTGTACTTTATGTTATCGGTGCCAAACATGGACAGTGAATAAGGCACTAGAACAGAATATAACTACATGTTAAATGAGCGTGTTTTCAGAGACTTGCTACATCATGATGATCTTCTGTGAACTGCAATATTAAAAGACATCAAAGGCATCATGGAAGGTTTCACACAGAGAACATTGCTCTTGGAGTGTATACAAATATATCATACGTATATAAGTAATATTTCGTTCAATAGTTCTTACTTGGTGAGCCACGTTAGCACAGTCTGCACATTCGCCTACCGGCCAGAATTATTGAGTTCGATTCCGTACATTCACCGCGTGGGTCCCCGTTCCCATTTATGGAGGAAACAAGAAAAGGCCCACTGCCTCCCCAACAAGCATGTCGTAGGGGGCGGCTTATTGGAGGCACTCTGGGGAGTCGAGAGTTCATCTGCCTGAGAGATAAGGAACCAATAGTCTACATATAAATAAGCCAGATTTGTGAAACGGATGTGCGCGCAGCACTCAGGTTCTGAAACAGGACTAAAGTCTGAAGATGGATAAACACCCAGAGCTTTCCGCCGGTGAACGAAAATAAAAAGAAGAAAAATCGCGTTTAAGAAGACATGTTTAGTTGGGGACCCCCCCCCCCCCCCCCCCCTTTCCTCCCGACCCATTTCACATTGTCTCATAGGTAGACTCAGCCTATACTTAGTACCAGGTAATTTCTTCAAAATAGAATCGTGATGTTATCAACATCACCCACCCAGTGTCGATTTAAAAAAAAAAATTTTTTCTCGTCATAAACCCTGTTTACTTTACTTTACTAGTTCTTACTTATGTCTGAAGTGGTCGCCTGATCCCGTGTAGAAGCCAAAGAAACGATCGAAGCCTCGCCTGGTGGGTAGGTACTTCTTCTTGTAAAAGCCTAAGTGCCACTTACCCACAGCGTAAGTGGAGTAGCCCACCTGACTGAGCTTCTCCACCAAGGTGGGTGATCCCAGGGGCAAGGCCGTGGCCTGGTTGGGACTGATGACTCCGTGCTGTAAGCCTGTATGGTTTAAGAGAATAGTTTAAACAAACCATGTGACGTCTCTACATTGAAGGTTGGCTACAGTGTACACACTGTTGTCTGTGTGAATATTTTGTGATGACGCCCCCAGTCTAAGTCACGGTGACAAAAGTTACATTGGCGTTATCTGCTCTGGCAAATGCCCGTTGTAGCTGTTCATCATCATCATCTACTACTACTACTACTGCCTGCTGCTACTACTTTCTCTTCTCTTTCTCCTCATCCTCATCATCATTCCTCTCCTCCTCTACGTATTCATCAACTATAATTATTTCTCCTCGTGTCTACACTGTAGCCATTCACTTAATCCTTATTGTTTCTTTTCTTATCCTCTATCTCCCCGCTTCAAACTATTTCACTTACCTACCCCCTCCCCCTTATTTTGTTGCATTTCGCCCCACCCCTACCCCCGTCACGATTCTCCATCATCTCGTTACTTTGATAATTTGTTATATGGTTAGTTGGTGAACGCTTTAGAAGGCTGAATTCTTAACTGTTAGGTCTCTTGCATTTGCGCTTTGGTTGGGTATGCCTTGAAAATGGTTGGCATCCATCGAAGCCAGGTTACTGCCAAGACCTTTTCTCTTTTTACCTTTATTAACATACCAATGCCAAGGGAGCTTCTGAGTCCCACTGCCCCCGCCCCTCACCCGAGGTTTATAAACCAGCGGGATGTATAGCATAGGTACTCTTACTCCTCCTCCTCTTCTTCTTCTTCTCCTTCTTCTTCTTCTGCTGCTGCTGCTGGTGCTGCTGCTTGTGATCGCACCACGCGGTTACGCAGACAGATGCTTTCTTATGATACAATTTACCGATTTAAAAAAAAAAGTTTTATCTTTAGTTCGCTCCTGAGTAGGTTGTACAAGGGATAGTCTTGCAGGACATGTTCTATGGTTTTTGCGCACATCCCACATAAGCAGAGTGGTGAACTGCTCAGTCGGAGCCTGTGCACATCACATATGGGCACAGTGGTGAACTGCTCAGTCGGTGCCTGTGCACAGCACACATGGGCACAGTGGTGAACTGCTCAGTCGGTGCCTGTGCACAGCACACATGGGCACAGTGGTGAACTACTCAAACGGAGCCGGCGCACCGTCCACATAGGGACAGTGGTGAACTACTCAAACGGAGCTAGCACACAGTCCACATAGGGACAGTGGTGAACTACTCAAACGGAGCTAGCTTACAGTCCACATAGCCACAATGGTGAACTACTCAAACGGAGCCGGCACACAGTCCACATAGGGACAGTAGTGAACTACTCAGACGGAGCCTGTGCATATGCACATTATTTGATACGCCCTGTCCTGAGGCGTAGGATGATAACATGTCCATGCTGGTGAGGCAGTGGTAGTCATGATCTGATTCTGTTCACTTTTGACTGGGTAGTTCTGATTGTACTGTCTTTCTGTCCACATTCTGTAAGCAAGTTTCCCCGCGAATTCATAGATATTATGTGTGAAAAGGCAAATTAGGATGCCACCAGGTCATAGTTCAGATTGACATACAATCAGATGGTAATCTAGGCTAGTAATGTGTGACGTGGTTACCTGTGTGAATCTGGTAGCGTCCGGACATGAAGACGCTCCTGGTCGGGGTACAGATGGGCTGCACATAGTAGTTGTCCAGCCGGACACCTTCTCTGGACAGCTTGTCTATGTGTGGTGTCCTGCGTATAGACGAGAGTTGCTTTAGTTGTCTTTTGTCATTGGATTTTGTGTGTGTTTGATGTGTGCATAGAAAAGGGTGGGTGGGGGTCTAATGCCACGGACTGTTCAGTAAATCTATTTTGTTTTGGATAGTAAATTCTCTCTCTCTCTCTCTCTCTCTCTCTCTCTCTCTCTCTCTCTCTCTCTCTCTTTCTCTCTCTCTCTCTGTGTGTGTGTGTGTTTATGTGTTTGTGCAAATGACTCACCAGATAAGCTCTTTGGTTGATCTGTTGCAAATTCTGTAAAACACTGAGTTTCAACACGTTAGGCCTTCATCTGGCATGCTGTTAGTACAGCTGGCGTTCTTAGCTTGGGACTTTTCGTTGGTTACCGAGGAAAGAGACGGAGCACCTGTGGGAATGTTCCGAGGGCAGTGATGTCAATTCTTTATTTATTTCTGTCAATCATTCAGATGGTCTGAGCTGAGTAAGGGATTTGCGTCTACCTCGGTTATTTTATGATCCTTCACACACTATCCCCAACAGCCTCAGAATTACCTTCTCCCATGAAAGATACTTTAGGAGCTATTCTTCTGTTTGGTTAATATATTATTAATATTGTTGTTTTTGCGATATTTGTGTTGATGTTATTTAGTATTGAGTGTTTACTAAGTATGCGTGATGTTTTTTTTTTTTAAACTATTATTTGGCAGAGCTGTGAAGTTGTTTGTAGCATGTTGTTTAAATGCAGGTGCTTTTAATTGACTTCTTGTTTAATTGTTTGTGTTGTAAAAGAGTAAAGTCGTTACCATTATTGATTGTGTGCATATCGCACATGGATGCGGATGAAGGGAGTGTTAGAGAGAGAGAGAGAGAGAGAGAGAGAGAGAGAGAGAGAGAGAGAGAGAGAGAGAGAGAGAGAGAGAGAGAGATTTGCTCACAGATCAACTCATGCCAGTCAGTACAAACCTGCAGCAACTTTTTAATACCAGTGACTCTTGTTATGTAATTGTAGACGGTGTCAGGCTTTTGGCGTTCGCTTGTTTCCTTTCTAAGTCGTTAGTGCCTGGTGCAAGTGAATCATACATTCTTGCATGTCTGGCTTAGACACATGGTGGGGGAGGGGGAGCTTTCCTCACATTTGTAAAGGAACTAAGCTGCACCCCTCCCCCTCACAACTATATATAGTTTTCTGCTTCAGATGTTTTAAAACACGTACTAATTATATTTTTGTCAAATTCAGACTATTAGTATTATTACGCACTTAAACACAGCGTAGGCCCTTGGTCCCTTCTGCCATAAAATATATAAGGGGCATGAGGGCTCGGTGATTTTTCTTGTTGGCGCCTTTGGTATCAGTGCGTGTGTGTTTGTAGATTTGTTTTTCGACCAGGCGGTAGCGCCAGGAGAATTTACTTCTTGTCTGAGCAGCTTCTTTCTGATACAGTGCGTCTTAGTTGATTACACCCCTACCTTGTTTTAATGGACAACACGAGCTGTCCGATGGCTGTGAGAACAGCACATCCCGACATGTTGTGATGGTAACAGACTCACAGAGCATGCTGTCGTGGATTTTCTGTCCAGGATACTCAGGTCTGCCAGGCAACGAGCAGGTTGATAGATTTGCTGCTGCTGCCGCTCCTCTGAGCAGTTAGCTGTTTTATAATAAAAGAGATGTGATGAAGTCTCTAGGGGATCAAATGGACAATGCAAAAGAACAGATAGACTCCACGGGAGGTGAGTAGAATGTTCTGGAAGATATTCAGCATTGAAGGAGGAACATAGGCGGACTTTTAATCAGGTTGCAAGCGCTTCTGTTGGCATATCAACTTTTTGTTGACTACTGAAGAAGGGGACAGAGAATATGTGGGAATATCCCGAGTGCAGTGATATAAGTTCTTGATTCATTCATTCAATGGACAACACGATAGGAATATATGTGCGATATTGCCGATTATTGTAGTTACTAAAATGAGTCTGTAGTAAAAGCACTGGATGTTGACCCCCTGACCCACCGAAGACCAACTGTTCTAGAACCAATATGAGTCTGGCGACTGGCGTTTAAATGTCTTGGAATAACATTCACCGAAGAATGTTAATTTGACGAAAACATTGACACTAAAGCTGGCCAGGTATTGGGACAGCTAGCTCCCCTCTTACAGCATTAGGCAATCCCAGTCAGCGCAAAGAGACATCTCATACAAAGCTTATTCATTCCCACCCTATGCTACCAGTGCCAGGCGTGGTCACTCACAAGAAAACATACAAGAAAATTAGTAACCATGGAAATGAGGTGTCTGAAATAGGCTGTAGGAGTGACCAGAAGAGATCAAATCAGGAATGAGGTCATACGAGATAAAGTCGGCACAGAACCAATTATAAATTGCATACAGCCAGCCAATCAAATGGTCTGCCCACTTGGAGAGAATGCCTTCTGATGCTATATCATACAAGGCATTTACCAAAAGAAGAGAGGGACGTAGAGCAAGAGGTAGGCCAAGAACAAATGGAAGAATAACATCAGAGAAACTCTACAGTACCACAATGCGTCTGTGGCCGAAGCAGCCAGAAGAGCACGAAGCAAGACCTTATTTCTCCCTCGACACCCGAAGCGGTAAAAGAGGACGTAAAGACGAAAAAGAAAAAGAAGAAGACTGGCGAGCAACTAGCGCGAAAAGGACCCCATATTTATATTACTTCACAGATAAAGCTAAATGATGGTACCTCATACCGAGATCAGCCTGTTATAAGACCTATTTAGCTAAGAAATCAGTATTTGAGACGTCAGCATGCATCCGTGCAAGGTTGAAATCCTTTATACAGGTACTGTCCCAGGTAGTCAGTTAAGTACTTATTCGCGTTCACCGGCTGTAAATAAACTCAGTTGCATGTTCCTGGTTGTTCGTTCACTCCTAAACTTTGGTCTTGATCAAGAACTTTAGGACTGCTTGCACATCCGTTCTACATTTCATACTTATTTGTTATACAGGCTGCTGATTCCTTGCCTCTCAGGCTGATGCACTCCGACTGTGAAGGAAACGGCGCTAATTGGCGGCTTCCCCCTGCAGTCTTGTAAGCAGGCGGTCGGTCTATTCTTTTTTTTTCCTCCTTATTGGACCCCGGAAGTCAAGCAAAGAGCCATTATTACTCCATTACCGCATCGGGCTGTAATTTAATAATGATCTAGTATGGACTAAACAAAGTTTTGCCTTTTTAATGTTCATCTGTCCTTACAGTACTCATTTAGATCTGGATTAGAAAATTTGATTCAGACTGTCAGTCAGGCTGGTGAGACTGGAAATGAGGTTGCTGAAAGAAAGAAAAGAGACGAGTGAAATAGTTCAGCCACACCAAAAGACCCCAGATTTCTCATCAAAGCCATGCTGAGAAAAAGAGAAGGCAATTTTAGCTGTGCCTTACAGCGTGGGCCACAAATTTGACTGGAGATTCATTTCCGCTTCCTTTTTTCTCGCCGTTTGTCATGTAGGATCTCTCGTGTAGGCCGGATTTCTTGGCTTCATGCTACAGAATTGTTGTTACTTTTAACTAACCACCCCCACCCCCCCCCCCCCGAAAAAAAACCACACACATACACTTTCTATATTCCTGTCTCAATGTCTCTCTTAGTTCTTTCTTAATATCCTACCCCCCTCCCCCCCCCCCCAGATGACGTCACAGGACAGTCCGGCATTTTAGAAGATGATATGACTGGGTTTCCCGGCTTTTTGAAGCTTTTAGCGATCCCAAAACATCTCGAACTGGCTCTAACCCACCTACGTCCCACGAGAGAGTGCAACCTAGGTCGCACGACTGCAAGCAGCCTATCTACCACCCCCTGAAATTTTAGACTGTTCCGTGGCCTGTGGATTTTCCCTGTTTGGGGTAGGATATTACGAAAGTACCCCCCCCCCTCTCTCTCTCTCTCTCTCTCCCCTTGTCTCCATCTCTCTTTGAAAGAGTCCAGTCTAAAGCAGTGAGTTCAGTTGTTATTATGCTGTCATTTTCAGTTGTAATAGCAGAGTGGATAGTGCACCGGCTTACGACACCGCGGTTTAGGTTAAATTCTTAGCTTCCACGTAGGGGTGTGGGTCCCCATTGTTGTGGGTAGGGGCGGACAAGAATAGACCCACTGCCTCCCTAACAAGCATGTCGTAAGAGTCCAAAAATTAGGGGATTCTGAAGTCGGAGTGGATCTGCCTGAGAGACAAGGAGCCAACAGTCTGTACAGTTAAGTCAGATTTGTAAAACGGATGTGCACACAAAACTCAAGATTTAGAGCAAAACTAAAGTACTGAGGTGGACGAACAGTCAGAACTTTATGTTGGAGTTTACAGCCGGTGAATGTAAAGACGAATAAAAAAAAAGAAAGAAGACGAAGAAGTGTATGAAGAAGAAGAAGGAGAAAAAGAATAAGAATCTTTAGCGAAAGAAGATTCTGTTCCACGTGGTATAAATCCTCTGGAGTAATCCCAGCCCCCATAAACCGGGTACCATAAATGTCTTGGAGCACAAATCATACGACAGTGAAAGGCTCGCACTGCTTCCACCTTTGAATGCACAACCTGGTGTATGCGAGACATATCAGGTTACCTCTAGAGATTACCGTTGCCTTGTTTAATGGCCCCACAGGTTCCCTGTTCGCTTGTTGATAGGAATGGAGATTGCGTCTCAAGGGACGAGATGAGAAATCCGGGAAGTATGCACTTAATACAATTTGGATCAGAATCAAGCGGGTTTCTCACACTAATGATTACCTATCTGCCAGCGCTGACGGCTTGTGGGTAGAGGAGGAGGAGGGATGCGACCGCGGCGGAGTGAGGGAGTTGTCAAATATGCTTACGTTGAGTGATTAATCTGGCGGCTAACATCTTATATCACGTGATGCATGCTAATGCATTAATTGGGGCGCACTTTTATCAGAACCACGAATGAGTAAGGTGGAGAATGTGGATTGAGGGAAGAGAAAAAGTATTGGAAGGGTTTGAGAGAGATAGAAAAGGAGGTTGTGGGGATTTGATAAGTGTTGAGAAAGACAAAGAGGATGATAGACAAATTGAAGGTGCGGAAGTCTAGACATTAGGATTAAGAAGGGATTGGTTCGTTATCTAGTTGGTTGGTTGGCAGTTGTTCTGGGGGAGGGAAAAAAAGGGGAAAAAGGGGGGGGGGGAGGGTGTGCTCTGACGAACAGACAGACAGAGCTCTGCTCTTCTAATCCTTTGGCTTATTTGTTCCGAACTTATTGAAGTAACATTTGGTCTTTGAGGTTTTAACAACGGATCAACATCATGGCACACGGATAGTAACCCATAAGTGCTCCGTTCTTCTTCTAACTAAGTCCGAGTCCGAAGAAGCTCAGCACAGTGCACAGGCTCTGTAGCACCGGCGAGGATCTTGAAATACTTTGGGTAGATTTTTAACTCAAAATTTTGCCTGGGCAGCGCCGTTAGGCTACTCTTTTCGATTTCCAACTGCCAAGGGATTTTTAACGTAGGCAACAGTACACACGGGCGTCCGGTCCCAATACCCGGAGACCAGGGGAAATTACTAGAAGGCCACATGAAAAAAACACACACAGCCTTCATGTGGACCTTAACCCGGGACCTCTAGCACTCGAGGCGGACGCAATGCCTCGAGACCACGCACTCCGTATGTATGTATGTATGTATGTATGTATGTATGTATGTATGTATGTATGTATGTATGTATGTATGTATGTATGTATGTATGTATGTATGTATGTATGTATGTATGTATATATGTGTGTGTGTGTGTGTGTGTGTGTGTGTGTGTGTGTGTGAGAGAGAGAGAGAGAGACAGAGAGAGAGAGAGAGAGAGAGAGAGATGTGCATGTATGCATATAGTTACATATCCTTTAGAGGATGACCCAACGCTCCACCCCCCCCCCCTTTTTTCCACACGTGTCGGCTACTCATGGTTTGACTAAGCACTGTTACGTTCACAAGTTTGCTACTGACGTTGTTTCCATTTTGGCGTTGTTTACAGTGACCCGAAGACAAAAAGCGCTGGTTTCTGCCTACCTGATGTGGGACATGTGATAGCCGACATCGTTGTAGCCCAGGTCATCCACCATAATAAATACGATATTTGGTTGGCCAGTCCCGATGCTGAGGGCGGAGCCAAGCAGAAGCAGCCAGGTGCTTGTTGGGAGCAGAATTTCCATTGTGTGCTGGGGAGTTAGAAGAGAAAGAAGTGAGGGAAAAAAACAACAACAGGTTTTTAACTGCCCATAATTATTTTTGGTACAACTTACCATCTCAGGTCCATTTGCGCCCATCAACACACTTATGATTGATGGAGTCCGGCCACGACACTCTGATTAGACGTTTAGTCTTCTCCGCCTTAACCTTTGAGACGCGCAAATATAAGTGGTAGGCGTGTCAACTCGGTCGACGCTCCTACTCTAGACCACGAGTTCTCTATATTAGAGGATGTGAGCGCCGTTAGCAACTCCATAAAATATACAACTGGTCCTAACCCCAAACCCTTTAATTTACCAAACACTGAACCTAGGTCCGACGAGACGGTGCATTCTACGTGCCATGGTTTCTGACCTTCTAACATTTTGCGGTGGCCCGCACAACGCTGTGTCGCTGCAGATACGCAACGCTACCCTCTGCAAACAACAAAAAAAAAAAAAAAACTCATTTTCTACGCAAAATCCTAGGCGGTTGTCATATACGCACCAACAAACAGTAATGCCGCTTTCGAGAGAGTATGCAATTTCGATGGCCGCTACTCCAAAAATTAAGCATTAACACGTATCACAGACAGCTGTGTGAATACAAAAGTACACCGGGACACTCCTCTTACCTTGACGAAGGTTAACCAGCCTGACCAAGTATCAGTGAACTGTCAGTTGGTGCGGAGATGGGCCGGAGATTATGAGTTGTACCTTTTTTTTAAGGGTGATGTAATACACACAGGACCTGATCCTGTGGATTAAGGCCCGCGTGGTTAGTGCATTGTCCCCAGACTTTGCATATATATATATATATATATATATATATATATATATATATATATATATATATATATATATGTAAATATGGGGTCCTATTCACGTTTCCCGGCCCATCTACACAGTTTCTCAGTCTGGTTTAGAGGGGTGTCACGTTATACTGTTTTTTTTTTTTAAAGACTCTGTGGGACCTAAGCTGAGGCTGTGGTTTGGGTTATGGCAAGTTCTAGATGTTTTAGAGGTCGTTGAAAGCTGTGTCGTCGTGTAGTAAACAACACACGACATCGGCGCTGATGTAATTGGAGGCAAGACACGTGACACCCCTCTGACGTAGAACCATCTGAGAAAGCATGAAAGGTCAGCCAGTGTGAAGGCCAGAAAACGTGAATAGGACCACACTCACACACACACACATATATACGCACACACACACACACACACACACACACATATATATATATATATATATATATATATATATATATATATATATATATATATATATATATATATATATATATATATATATATATATATTGGTCCATTTCATCCTTGCTGTACCACACCTTTTGCTTAGTTTGTTAGAAAACCTTTATGACGGCTTCCAGGGGCAGATAATGTCAAGGTGCAATAACTTTGCTCTCATCAATGCATACATTGCTGAAGTTTTTATCTTAATGTTGTTTAGCAGAGAGCTCTTTCTTAAGCTACAAAGGTATGAGGTGAGGCCTAAAAAGAGAAGACACGCTAAGCAAAAATGTTGATACTAAAGGAAACCCGATTTTTATCTCCACATTTTTCATCCGAAATTGTAAACCAAAATCTTTCTGGTGTTTTGCATCACTATTTGGTTGATTTTGCACTGTTAGTTCCATCTATAGTCGTCCCCTTGTGGGATGCAATTTTTCGTTATTTGAAGCCCCGCTCTGGCTTTTGCCAGGGGCCCTGAATATAGCCTGGCCATAAATATGGCCTAACGGCTGAAAGGAGTTTCGGGGACCTCTCCACGGGTGATCCTCATCCGCATGGTGGCACTTTGTGTCACCGAGTTTTATCGCTTGTAGGATGTCCTGGTGGGGTACATCAAGAGAGAGAGAGAGAGAGAGAGAGAGAGAGAGAGAGAGAGGGAGATAGAGATAGAGACTGTTAGTTGCCTCCATATTTGATTTATTTGTTCATAATGTTTGTCACGTCAAATTGAACATTCACATCAGCAATTGCATCACTCGGGTAATCACTCCTCTTAAAAAGGTTCAAGCTAGTGCCATAATTGAAAACATTTCTAAAACGTACCACAGCTTGGGCCTGGTACCAAAAGTACAGTTTTGCTCGGTAAAGGTCAAAGTGCCAAATGATTACGAAAGTGCCAACTTTGGCAGCCCTGCATGAGATCTGAACACACAACCTTCGGATCCGCAGGCGAATGTCTAGCTGCTGCACCAAGGCAGCTGCCTCTGCGGTACTACTGATGTCTCAAAATTACCAGAACGGGATTTTTTAAAAACCTCACATGATGCAGAATTGATTGAATTTACAGCAGCCCGGGGGGGGGGGGGGGGGGGGGGGGGGGTGGGTTTCATAACTTGAACTAAAAATTTAGTTTAGCAACTACTGATAATGAGTTAATCTTCAAAACAAACGATTCTTATGACTAGATTAAAAATAAAAAAAAAACATCAGAAGCCACTTCCAGTGTATCTGACCGGAAACGCGTGCTACGGTACTTGATGTTTGGTCCAGTAAAAAAAAGTTGGCAGGTTACACGATTTCAAACTACTTTTTCCTAGCGTGACCACGTGATGTTTTCAGTTCGCAATGAGGTTAAGACTCACCTGGTTTACTCTGTGAACTTTTGACCCCTGTGTTGTAGAAGTGTACCAGAACTGTAACACACGACCAGACGACTGATGAGAATGAGAGCAACTGGTCTCGGCCGAGCTGCGATGGAGAGGAACAAAAATTGAGTGGAACGACGGGAACAGAGGAGCCGCGTTTGCTACGCTTCCATCTGGCGGCGCACGTGAAAAGGAAATTAGGGTGAATGTAACCAGGAATGCAGGCTGTGGGAGTCGGGTGTTTGTGTGTGAGTGCTGGGGGAAAAAAGTAGGGGGGGGGGGGGGGGACCAAGTGCACAATTAATTCTGTTCGAGCGGAACATGTGTGTGTTTGCGTGTGTTGGGAGTAAGGGTTTGGTGGATGGCTAAGAACTCTGGCCCCCTGATAGGCGAGTGGGTTTGTTAGTGGGTGGGTTGACCCGGGGGGGGGGGGGGGCAGGGTGTAATGAACATGACCGTTGCGTGGGTATATGAGGTGAGAACACAGTTCTGTGGGAACGGTGTGTGTTGTGGGGGAAGGAGGAGAGAGCTGAGTTAATTATGTGAGATCGGGTAGGCGTGTATTGGAGTACGGCATTGAAGTATGTTGAAGAACTTTAGGCACTTTAGTGTATGTTAGGGTGGGGGTTATCCTTACTCCCACAAAGAACCGCCGAATGACATAGTAAACCAAATGGTGACGGAATGTGGATAAGGTGTTAGACCATAGGCTATCCTCTGAATAACGGGCCCAAATTATCGAGGCCGAAAATATACTCTCAGGGCCGCAGTCACATATAAATTGCGGACCTCTTTCTGACTACACAGCATACCGCGGAAAAGCTTCCGCCGAGTTAAAAGTCACCGCCGAGAGTATTTTCTCGGCGGTGTCTTTAACTCGGGGTAAGCTTTTCCGCTATATGCTGTGTAGTCGCCGGAAAGAGGTCTCGATAATTTGGGATCGTTATTCAGAGGATAGGCGACCATCGACATCCTTACTCCCACACAAAAACAAAAAAAACGATTCCCGGCCCATACACACCGTGATTGGCCGTTCCTGCATACGTGCTTAACTTTTGCACGTGCGACTCTCTCCTACAGGGGTGTCAGGTACTATTGTCCTCGACGTTCTCACCGGTGATGAAGTCTGCTCCCTCCTCCTTCTCCATTCCACAGCCTCGGCCTACGTCCCACGAGAGACTTCAGCCTACTTCCCGTGATTTCAGAACTGTCAACATTTTGCGGTCGGCCCTCCTTGTCGGTCGTCAACACTGGCAGATGAAGTAAATTCATATCGTACTTGAAGGCCGAGAAGGCTAGAATATACACAGTGTCGCTGGCCGCTCAGAACAACGAGTAAAACACAGTGTGTACCTGGGCTGGCCCCTCAGAACAACGAGTAAAACACAGTGTGTACCTGGGCTGGCCGCTCAGAACAACTAGTAAAACACAGTGTGTACCTGGGTTGGCCGCTCAGAACAACGAGTAAAACACAGTGTGTACCTGGGCTGGCCGCTCAGAACAACTAGTAAAACACAGTGTACCTGGGCTGGCCGCTCACACGAAGCGTAATATATACATAACAGAAGACAACCTGACACCACTGTAATAGAGTTCGCGCCTATGAAAGGTTTTTTGTTTATTTATGTATGAAAGGTTAGCACGCATGAATGAACGACTAATCACGGTGTGTCTGGGCCGGAAATCGTTACTTGAACCGAATGACATAGTCAAGCGACTGGTGACGGAATTCGGATTGGGTAGCTGGTGTTAAGACTATCCACATCCTTACTCCCGCAAAGTTAAGAACCGCCGAAAGACATACTTAACCCAGCGGTTCTCAAACTTTTTTCGCCGCGGCACCCTTTTTGAGTTAAACAAATTTCGCGGCACACATATCCTTAAAGCGGTTGAATACTAAAGAAATAATTACCCCCCCAAAAAAGTGCAAATTTTATATTCACTTGTCTTTAATGCGATAAATGAAACTGGATGCATTTTACATTTTATCATTTACATTTTCATTTTTAGAAATTCTGTTCATCATGGATGACCCTGCTTGAAGAGGTAAAGCTCGACGTTTAAAGATTTCTTAGCCGGAACTAAGCTATATCTAAGCTTCTATCTTCTTGTACCCCATTTTTTACATTACACAAGCGATAAACACCCGATGACACAAAGTGCCAACATGTGGATGAGGATAACCCGTGGAGAGGTCCCAGGAACCTCTTTCAACTATTAGACCATATTTATTGCCGGGCTATATTGCGGCTCCCGGCAAGAGCCAGAGTAGGGCTTCAAATAACGAAAAATTGCATCCCACGAAGGGATGACAAGATAGACGGAACTAAGCATCTGTTAGCAACACTTCTATGGCAGTAAACACAT